AAAATTAATTTGCAATCTAAAGATACTGATGTGCATATGATTATTTTACAGAGATGATGCAGACAAACATAGTTTGATTACAAAAACTGATGCAAAGCAGCAATATTTATTGAAAGACAGTGACTTGGACAAGCGAGAACCTATTTTAAAATTCTTAGTCCGGAAGAATCCTCATTCAGCTGGTTGGGGTGAAATGAAACTGTATCTTAAATCCCAGGTAAATGTACTTAATTTTACTCACATGCATAATATGTAAATCAGCACAGTATGACATGCATCAAGGGGGGATTCATGACTACAACTATGATTTAGAAGCAACACTGATGGTAATTATTCATTTTCATTTGTTATGGCATGCAAACATGGTACACTACCTACATTTCATTACTGTATGATAGAAAATAAAGCTAACCAAATTTAATATTCACTTGCATAGTAAATAGTAGTACTGCACTTGCAAAATACTTAAAAAACACAATTTATAAAACCTAATTGTGAATCTATATTTTATATATTTCCCTTAGTTTGTTATGTTTATAATTTTAAAACTTTTTTCTGATCTGTATATTGAGGCAAAATTTTCATTTCCATCAAGCCTTGCCTCATGCTCCTTCTATCCCTGGTTTGGAAACGGCTTTTGTATTAGAGGGACTGTGCTTGCCTAATTTTTGGATATAAACATTCACACTATTTTACTATTGTTAATAAGAAATGTTCCACTGTACACATTCTGGGCCAATGTTGAATCTCTTCTAAAAGTGTATTTGACCTTGTTATAAAAGATAATTCTGAATTATTTTAAAATAGAGTAACTACATAGTTTATGGCAATGAACGTAAATGGTGGGATGTCAGATTGCCATAGAGGGCGCCCCCGCTGAACAGGATTTGCCAAAGTATAGTTGTAAGACTTTGGTCAAAGAGTGGACCTTGGCTAGAAAAGAAACACAAGGTCAAGTATACAACTTAGACATCAAGTTATTATTTTGTACACAGGTTTTATCTAGAGCACTGGAAATTTGGAAAAGTGAAGAAAATATACAAGAAGAAAAAAAGAAACGGGTAGAAAATAAAGAAAAATTAAAACAGAAGAAATTTGACAAGAAAATGAAAGGTGAGTTATAATAAGTTTATTATAATGAAACAGTTTTAATACAACAATATTTACTTAAGAGTCACTGTATTTAGTTGTCACTGTATTTAGTTGTCACTGTATTATTTAGTTGTCACTGTATTTAGTTGTCACTGTATTTAGTTGTCACAGTATTATTTAGTTGTCACTGTATTTAGTTGTCACTGTTCAATTTAATCAGAATTCACTGTGCTCAGTCCAGACATGTGTCACTGTCTTCTGTTTAGATAGATTTCATTGTGTTTGGTTTAAACAGGTCTCACTGTTTATTTAAATAAATCTTATTGTGCTGAGATAACTAATGACATGTGTAATTGTGATGTCCCATCATTTGTTACGGCCAGTCGCCCAGTTACTGTCAACACCTGTCCACTTACCTACTTTCGGCTGAAATGATTTGTAAAATGCTCACAGTGTTCTTCCCAGGCCAAAACAAAAGAGTCCAAACATTTATTTTGCTATAATTGTTTCAAGATATAAACAATTACCACTGGAAGCAATTATTAAGTGTATTCATGGCAGTAGTGTAAAAGTAACAACGATTGTCTAAATTCATTGTCGCCACTGATTGCTTACCGTTCACAACTACAGTAATTTTGATTACAGCTGTCTTTTTAG